GACTAAAAACATGTAAAAATAAATATTAAGACTATAAAAGTGAAACTGCAGAAAATTTCTCCCTACACAACTTTGGTAATGTTAAATTGTTTTTATATTCAGAAAGGGCAAAACAAGAGAGAGATTTATACAAAGTATTTTAGTAATTTTAAAGTAAGAATTGCTATGGAAAATAAACGTATTTTGCAAAATATTTTAATTTAAAAAAATGTTCTGTTTCTTTTAGTTTGTTATACTACCTATAGTAATCAGTCCACAAATACTTCCTGGCAAAATAAATGGCTGTCATGGTTAATAATATTTTCCTTAAGAATCATGACCATGTATCTAATAAAATCCAAATGCGCATATAGCTTTCTTCCACCACAGTTTCAGATACTGAGAGCTAAAATTCCGTTACAAAGATTCCTGGATGGTACAAACAGTTTGCCCTTGACTGGTAACCAAAAAAGTTGGTAGTTTAAACCCACCCAACGGTACCATGGAAGATCTTCTTCCAAAAAGATTTCAGCCTAAAAAAAAACCCCATGGAGCAGTTCTACTCTGTCATATATGGGGTCTCATAAATAATAAATCAACAACAACAACAAAAACAAACCAACAAAATAAAATTCCATTACAAAGAGGTCAGATGGACACATAGTCCAGAATGAAGTAGACACTGTTCTCCCCTAACCTACATGGACAATATCAGATGATTGAGAACCTGGAGGCCCAGAGTCAAAGAATTATTCCTTCCTAACAACCCTGAGGCGCTCCCAAGGCACAGAGTCCTCAGCTGTGTGTATGTCATTCCTCTGCTGGTCACACAAGGGCCAGCGGCCACACTCCCTCCACCACCATCACACAGGTAAGGTTAAGGTCCATTCAGGCAACTTCAGTGGGAGACAACAATATTTGTCCAGTGCAGGGCTTTGAACCAGTTCATTCCTGTTCGACTCTCTGCTGACAATGTGTCTTTCTACTCCAGATATACTGAATCACTATCCACATTTTACCATCTATATCCCCAGGTGAATGTAAAATGTAGATTCTGATTCAGTGTATCTGGAGTGTTGTTGTTGTTAT